GTGAAAGTTTCGGGGTTAGTAGTAAAAATTATATATTCACATATATTCATATATATTTCTAAATTTTTTTAAGCAAAAGAGAAAAGTTCTCTAAAGAAAGGAAAGGAATAGGGTAGCCCAAGGGGCTAAACCATGGGTGAGTAATTAATGAGTATATTTTTTTAACTTTGATAGGTGATGGTTATCAAAATTTTGAAAAACTGAGGTTGCTTTGGAAAAAAACCCCCCCCCCCCCCCCCCCCCCAAAAAAAAAAAAAAACTGATAAAGACTTCACCTCCTTACTGAATTCTGTTGACTTTCAAAAGTACAAATTCCCTTTGGCACATTCTTCTAATAATGTATTTATGTGTTAAGTAATCCAAAAATACAGAAAGTGCACGGTGGCTATTGACTGTTTCTCCACATTGATCAATAACAGGTGCCAGGCTGGTCACGCAAATGTCATAACAGTTTTGCAATCGTGTCTTTGCCAAGGTCATCACTGGTAATACTATTTTGCAGATTAAATAAAACAGTTAAGGTGCAATTTCTCCTGATTCAGGGTATTAGCTATACATTTTGGTATACGGTTTAAAAAATAGATCTTGAAACATTTGCTATATCTTCTGTACCCAAACAGGGCAAGCTAAAGTTATTATCTTGAGTTAGGGAGGTGGGACAAGAGGTAGACTAGGCCCAGCAGTAAATGGCTGGCAACCTATTCCCAGGAAACAGGGAAATAAAAAGTAGATTCTCCAGATCCAATCTCCCCAGTTTTGTCTAATACAAGGGTGTCAACTCATCAGAAAGTTCTAGACATTGCAGTAGGTATTTAAAAAACCTCAGGTAGCCAAGACCCAAAATCGTACCCATATGTAAGCTGGAATGGACAATGCCACCAGGGGGTGCTAAACTGCAACAGCTAGGATGATTGGTTGGGCCTTCAGCACTGCCCACTCTCTTACACGCTAGGCTGCCATAAATGGCACACGCATACCTTTGTTATATCAAATGGTAGTTATCATACCTGTAGGTTTTTCCTCTCTCTTTAATAAGAAACAGAGAAATAAGGAGAGAACCTTTCTCAAGTTCTTAGGAAATTTTCACTCTATCTCCCCAGACAGAAGGAATAGATAATCCTCTTAGTCAAAGCTGGACATCTGTTGGACCATGATTTACTAGTGAAAAGAGTTATTCTGTGTTCAAAAACAAACGCCAGCTGCTACCTTTTATTTTTAACTTGTATGTGCTCAGACATAAAGGGTTCTCTTTATACTTTCCTCATTCTCATGCTGAGAAATGATATATCCTTTAGCTGCTTGCCTCTGGGTGGTAAGGAGACCAGGAAAGGGGAGTGGGTAGGACAGGGGACCATTTCCTTCTCTGTTACAGCCTTCATATCTGCTTTACCACCAATTCTTCCTTGTTGCACTTTTATCTTGAGAGGTTCTATGTAAACACCCTGACATCTGAGTACTCTGCAAAGACTTTTGGTTGAACTAGCAAATCGAATCAGGAAATAGAATGCTTCTATTGCCTCCACACCCATTACCTCCTAGCCTTCCCTCTATCCAAGGCCAAAGGCTTCATAACCCTGTATTCCCAAGACTTTTGAACTTGAGGTACTGGCAGGAGTAGTAGTCAGATTGTAAATTTGATGAACTTCAGTACCAGGCCTTTGCTCAATTCAAGTTATCCAAGATATCAAATACACACAACAAAAGAAATTTAGACTCAGCTTCAGATGGTCTTGCTGAGATTAATAGTTCCATGAATGGAAATTTTCCTGATTTTAGCTCTGCAGAGGACAGGAAAGAAGCAAATGGATACTAATTACTAATAAGATACAGAAATCTGTTTTGAACAAGGACTAGTATCCTTGGATTACAAAACCTTTTCTTTCTTCATTCGGTTTATAGAATTTGTTTCTTCCTAGAATGTTGTAGTTCATGTTTTTCCAGGCGTGATTTTTAAAAAGTCTTCTCCTAAGTTACAGGAATATATAAGTGTAGGGATTCCCCACTGTAACTGGGAATCTTGGAAGGAAGGTGTGCCAATGTCATCTTCTTTTCCAGTAGTGTAAGAATCCTTTGTCCTATAAGCTCAGAGGTGACAACAGTGACCTGACTTGATATGTTAAGTGAATCCAGTGCGGTTCTAATGCTGGTGTCCCCTGTGCTTAAGTATTAAATAGGTAGGTAGTTTTTCCTAATGTTAGACAACTGTCTGTTTTTTCTATATGGAAATCAGAGAGATTAACTTTTAATATACTTTTATCTCACTCTCCTGATCATCCAATGTTAAAAATCATAATCTAGCAATGTACACTGACCAAAGACTTCCTCTTGAGATCTATGCATACCTATATTAAATTCCTTTTAGCCTAGTAAATATGTGACACATCTCTTACTTACCCCAGGACTTCTTTAAGGAACTTAAGTAATAGAAGGATAGAGTAACACAAAGCTGGAGTCTGTATTTCCTCCAGAGGCTTAAATCTGCTAAAAACTTTCAGAGCTACCCCCCACCCCCGCCCCATTTTGACCCCAATTTGAGAAGGGGAAGTGAGAGTACGGAGAGATACAAGGTGACAATTTTCTTTAATAATTTGTTAAAATATTTAAGTACTAGCTAATGAGTGATATGGAAGAGAGATACAGTCCCAGTCTCTGCTTCAAAGACCTACCACCTGGCAGAGGGAGAGGAATAATGCTAACAGATAAGGGCACAAAGCCTTCAGGCTGCTGTGGCAGAAGATTTAACAAAGGACAGTGAGGGCACAAGAGGAAGGGGTCAAATCTACTTAGAAATGAAGTATGTCAGGAAAGGCTCCAACAGGTTGGCAACCTTTGACCTGAATCATGAAAAAACCAATGGAGACAGGTGAGAGCGGAAAAGGGAACCGCAGACAGAAGGACATAAAGAAATGCAGAGTGCAGCATCGTAGAAACTAAAAAACTGTGACAGTGTCAAGAAAGCAGTTCAAAGCTTCCAATGGCAAGACAAAGTATAAAGAAAAGGTTCAATGGATTTGGGGAATGAGAAGTTATCCCTGACCTTTGCTAGAGCCATTTTGATGGAGTAGCAGGTCAGAAGCCTGGCTGTTCTGAGTTAAAATGGGTGAAAAGCATATGGGAAAAAAAAATTGAGTAAATTTCACTTATATGTGAAAACTAAAAAACACAAAACAAACAGAAACAGACTCAGAAACAGAAAACTGATGGTTGCCGGGGGGTGGAGGGTTAAAGATGGGTGAAAAAGTGAAAAAGAATAAGAGGTACAAAATTCCAGTTATAAATTAAAAAGCCACAGGGATGGAAGGTACAGCACATGTGATATAGTCAATAATATTGTAATAAATTTGCAGGGTGACAGATGGGTATTAGATTTATCATGGTGATCACATCATAAGTTACATAAATGTTGATTCACTATGTTGTACACCTGAAACTAATATATTATATGCCAACTGTACTTCAATAAAATTTTTTTAAAACAGTAAATAGAAGACAAAAAAGAGGTGACAACAAGTATAGACTATTTCTTGGAACCATTTGCCTTTTTACTTTCAAGTATACTAGTTCAGCTACAGTTAGGCTTTACATTTCTACCAGAAAATGACTCCCAAACACAATCTACTAACTTAAAAACAAATTTAGACACAATCCATTCTTTATGAAACTCCTATATTATTTTAAGTGAATGATATAAAATCAACGTTTCTACAGATTTACTCTGCCATCACTAATTTTTCTTTCATATAGTTCAAAATGAATAACACCTATAATTGGTTATAGCAGAAAAAGGTGCTTTATTTTACATATCATTGGTACACAATACATAAAACTGCCTAAAAGCAGTCTTGGAAAACACAACTGTCAGTTATATCTTAAATGGTCAAAGACCAAGTCTGTTTTGCAACCTACTTCATTTATGACCAGATGACTGCCGTAATTTTAAATGCTAATAATCTCTTTCATATTCAATGTTACAAATGATTTTATGCTACAAGTGCTGCAATTTTTTAAAATAAAAATATCTTCAGTTATAGTAGACCATATCTCTAACCGGAGCCAATCTTTGCTAGTCTACAAGTCTTTGAAATAATGCATCAGCAATTTCCCCTTCTTATAGATGGCTATATTTATGTAATTGGGTTATGGGGCAGGGGGGCTCATACATGTAATCAGAGTATTTCCATTTTTAAAAAAATGCATATGAAAATGAGTTTATAATACCCTATCTCTAGTTAAATTGCCAAAACAGTTTCCTGAACTAAAATGAAGCCAATATGATACTTTGGAAAACAATTCTAAGAGCATGCAACATCAAAATCTTTCTGCTACGTATGTGAACCAAAGTTGCAGAGCCCAGGAAGAGGACTGTGGCACAAAGACTTCTACATCTGAATTGCTTATCCAGCTAAGAGGAGTAAAGAAAGTAATTTAACTCAGTGTAAATCTTCTTAAGATATCTGCAAAATATAGCCCACTACTACTCAGAAGGGATCTTCACTTAGAAATGTGCCAATCTTAAGAGCCAAATGTACTTCACTTCTCATTTACCCCAACCCATTCTAGTCATGAACTCACAGCTCAAAGATCTCTTATTAACTATTAATGTCAAAGCCACAGAGATTTCTCAATAGCATCTTTTAGTCATCAATCCCTTATCAGAGAGATAAATGTAAGTAGTACTTAGTGCACAAATGCCAAGAAATGATAACAGAATCTGGGCTAATTCTCAAAGCAGAAACATTAGTTATTTTAATAAATCCCTTGGTAGAGAAAGACTGCCTTTCTCTCTAGAAAACAAGACAGATGTTAGAACCACAGGTTCATATTCACCATCTGGTCTAGAACAGGAGAGGCATTTAAGCAAAGTAAACTAAATCAAATACTAAGTAGGTATAAATGTGCATGCTCAAACAAATACTCTATTCCTTGCTTAAAGTCAACTTACTCCTTGTCATGAAGAGCAGTGCTTTAAGATACAAATTGCTCATTAATGCAGAGAATAAGATGTTAAAAGCCAGATGTTTTTCTAATAAAGCAAATGATCGTTAAAATAATTGGGCTTGAAGCATATACTTACTATAACTTTCCATTCTTACTTTTTATAACTAAACACACACGTATACAAAACAAACCCTAGCATTTAATATGTGCAAAATTGCTTACCATTTATTTTAACTTTGGTTAAGTATTACTTTAGCCTATATCAGACATATGGAAGCTACACAAATGATTACAAACATAATAATGAGGTAAGTTAAAATTCTACTAGTGCAAAAAGCAAGCATATGCCAAAAGCAAAGCATATGAGTTAAACAAATGCAGAATGAAGCTCTCACCAAGGGAGGTGCTGGGATAACAAACCAGAGAAGCTCCTTGTAAACATTGTTTGTAAAGTACACATTTAAAGATTAAGGATTCATACAGCCACAAAAAAAAGGTATTCTAACAACACCATAGTAGTGCATTTATTTTACCTTTAGAGTTCGGAAATCACTCATTACGTGTCTAACAATTTGCATATTAATTAGTGAGACACATTAATTACAAATACTGTAGTATAAAAATCCCAGTTCTTTACAAAAATTATATATTAAAATATTCTATACACTTTAAATTAGTAACTGGAACATACATATATATCAATTCTGAACAATTAAATCCATCTTTGCTGGGAGTATTATACATGAAGTTTGAGGACATAGCTACTCAGTCAACCTAAACTGGCATAAGGTTACAAGGTATAAAAAAGATAGACCTGTGCCCCTGCATTTACTGCAGCTCTTAGTTTGAAATATCTTTTCTGCAATTATTGCTCTGTATATCCATTCCCGATTTAAATAGGCAGTGGAACCATGAAATTCCTACAAGGTTTAAAACAGGTTACATGTAGCAGAGTGTCCATAAAGCCTATCTGCATCTTTAAGGTTGTAATGGAACCTGAGTATGCTATCTAATGCTTATATTTTAGTTGTAAAAAAGTTTATACAATTTCGAGGTAAAAACAATGCAAAAATAAAACATTTAGAGCATTTACAAAAATCTTACAAATGTTTAAAACACTATTTCAAAATTTGTGTCCTTTTAAGGTGCTTCTTTCTTTCTGCATTAAGGGGGACATACATTTTAATTTTGAATGTTAAATAATGAATGCTTTAATTTCAGCAAAAGCAAAGTTAGGACCATTAAGACATGTTGAAATGTTCAGGGACATACTTCACTTTTGATGAAAATACAGAATCTAAGTGCTGAAAGGGACCTTAAAGGTAAATCTTTTAACTCCCTCATCTATTAATGAGGAAACTGAGGGCCAAATAAGTTAAGTGCTTTGGCCAAAAATATATTCCAATATATCACTCTGGTATGAATCAAGGAAATCCATTATTCTTTTTGTATTTTGCCATGATTCTTGGAAAATAATGAAAATTCAAAAGCAGAGTTTCTGAACTTGCCTCGTTCTTTTTTAATTTCTTAAGCTCTGTGCTAATTGTAAACAAAGAAATCAAATGCCTGCTAAAACTAGGATCACGAATATTATCTAGTGGAAGATAGTAGTTAGAAGACCACTACTCACACAGAATAAAGGTAGAGGGAGTAAGTACTCAAAGCCAGGGCCTTTGCAATGTGGAGAACACTTACTATAGACAGCACAGTGTACAGCAGCCAGTTACTAGAATCATCTTAATAACTCTAGGATGACTGAGTTACATGGCCTTTATAAAAGATACTGGGGTAATAAAGCCTTCTACATTTTATCTTAATTTTCCTATTTTCCTTAATAGAAGAACTATAAGGAAGAATTCATATACTAAGTTTCAGAGAGTTTTTGCTTCTTTTCTATTTTTATTTGGATCTAGAATTGAGCAAATACATTTTAAGAACTTACAAATTCAAATTCATGACTGCTAGAAATACAAACAATACTCTTTTAAATGATGAATCTTCATAACCAGTTACTAATAAATAATCATAATCACAATAGCTTCGGTAAAAAAAAAATCAATTTAAAGGTGCTTTTTTATTGTTACCTTGAAGCCATCGAACTTGTGTAGCTGGTCCATATCCCTTTTCATTCTTTGCTGATATTCTGAACACAATGGCAGGTCTGGATGTATAATCAATATGTGCATTTGCAAGTTGCCCCGCAGTTACTATACAGGATGTCTTAAGACCACAATAAATCCTCATAAATACAAGTTGACTTGGATTATCTTGTATTTGTGCTGTGCGAATCGCCAAGTAGGCTGAGTATTCCAAAATATTTCCAGAAGGTGAAGTTGGAGGTTCCCAGGAAAGATGAATACCCTCGACATTCTTGAACAGAGGGGAGGAAAAAAAAACAACAGGTAAAGATTCTGAAGTTTTCTCTAATATCACTTATGTTGAGTTTATATCTTTAAAACACAAGATGCTGCTTTTTTGCTATGGTAACTGCAACAGATGTTAGAACTTGTAACGTTGAGTTTTAAGAACCTACCTCAATTGGATCTGCAATGTTTAATTCATTCCCATTTTTCAAAAACATTAAGTAGGCTTAAATGTCTGCCTGTACTCTCTCAAGAAGGGGATTTTTCTTACTTGAAATGATACCTTTTCTTCTTTAAGGAGAGGCAGGATCTTCAGATAAAATATAATCCAATTTCAAGTATTCTATTAGAATTCTCCAGTAGAAACTTTTTGGTTCCATAAACAAGAACAAAATTAGTATTAAGAAGCCAGATTTCCCTTTCTGTAATTTGGACGCTATAATTCTACTTGAAATTTAAGCCTTAAAAATACTGTGATTAGCAAAAAACATTATTTAAACTTTTAATCTACCCCTTTTAGATATCTCTCATTTCATCAGACACTAACAAGAATTTCTAAACTGACAGTTTTACTTCATATACAAAGTTTCAATAATTTAAATCACCAAATCTCAACCTGACTTGACAGCTTACCTTTGAAATTCTGACTGCAGAAGGAGCTCCAGGAAAACCGGGAATACAAGTTTTAAATTCACTGATTTTGCTGAAAGGGCCTATTCCACAACCATTGATAGCAGCAACCCTGAATCTGTATCCTGTGCCTGGAACAAGATCTTGTTTCTTAAGTAAACTGTAGTCAGGTGCGTCTGCATTTCCTATCTAAAATGCAATAGATGCAAAAGTGAAGAAAAGGTGCAATTAATTATTTTTTAATTAAACAAAATTTTTAAAGAATGAATTATGTTTTAAGGTTCTAGTTTACATTTATTTATTTCCCTCTTTTCACACATGGAATGAGCCCTCCAATACAAAGCAACAAAGCCCATAAATTAGTGATTCTTATTCAGGGGAAAAATGTCCTTTCTAGTTGAGAATCACTGATTATAAAAAGAAATATAAGGGTATTCTGTACATGAAGTGAATGAAGGTAGAAAAAAATTAACAACCACTAAACTATAAACAAAATAACAACTATTGAATCTTCTTGCCTAATAGATGTTAAATAATTAGATTGCATATGCTGGGTAGGAAGATTATAACACAACTTTCGAACAGTTTTTACATATTCTAACTTTCACTACACCTCTGTGAAACATGTCGCACCAATGTACCACCTCATTTTTTAAGGGCGTTACGACATCTCCATTTTACAGATGAGGAAACCAATCTGTCCAAGATCACACTGTTGAGTGCGGGAACTAATGATTCAAGCCAAGTTTACTGGTTCTAAACTTTATGCTTTTATCTTTTGGCAAAAACAAGTAACTACGAGGACCTTAGACACGGATATTTCCTTATTTGAAATCGAACTGCAGCCAGAAATTTCACTAGGCATAATACTAACAAATTATTAACCAGGATTTCTATTTTTTTCAAGAATTAGAAGAATTCAATATCAAAAAGTGAGACATCAGAATAGTAGAGAAACTAAAATATCATGATAAATGATATAGTCTCCATTTGTGCAGATCTTTGGGAGATTCTAACTAAATATCTATTTCCTTGGCAACTTCCTCTCTGAAATTTCCCATTCCAGAAAAAAAAAATTAGTTCAATATGTTTTGGGGCTGTTACCTGTTTTACAACTCTTAGAGGCTTAATATCATGTTTATGTACATGAAGTCCTCCTTAAGAGACTTCGGAATCAAGTGAAAATTAGATTGTATTCAGTAGCCTACAGGGGCTTTTAAATTTTTTTAATTGTGAAATCAGGAATAAAAAAGTTCTCAGTAAGAAAAAAGATGTCCTATTCTCTAAACATATCAGGTAACAAAGTTAGAGATATTTCAAAAATTTCTTATCTGTACTGGCCAGATTACATTATTTATGACTCAAAATCTAGCCCAGTGTTTCTATAAGATTTTTTTTTTTTAGGCGAGGCAACCCTTGGTTGATCTCACAGATTGCAAGGACCTTGTCAACTTACAATCCTTATTTATTTATTTTTTACGTCTACAGCACCCTGTCTTCCTAGGTGGTCTCCCATCCAAGTACTAACCCTGCTTAGCTTCCGAGATCAGACGGGATCGGGCTTATTCAGGGTGGCATGGCCGTAGACTCTATATGATTTTTTAAATAATCTTCTTGTGATATAGTCTATAAAAAAGAGCTTTAAAAAAATAATACAAGATAACTAAGTATACAGAACTTTCAATTGTAGATTGTGAACAGATCTCCATTTCAGGCATTCAAGTGTTTAAACAAGGTTCTAAAAAAAATCTCATTATTGAGGCTTATGACTCACAATATAGAAAATGTCAATAGCTACCTTTGAGATGCTTTGTTTCCCTTTTGGCAGCAAATAAAACTGGCTCACCAAAGCTGTATTATTTTTAAAAATTCCTACATCACACCACTGTCGTTCTCCTGCTTTCATTGTGGCCACTGGATTTGAAGGAGTCTCTTTCTAATTTCAGAGAAAGAAAAACTTATGAACATTCTTACTGAGCATATAAGAAACTTCAACATCTAATAAATCCATGCAGTGATCTACAAGTAGGTATATGGGTAAACACCACAATATTAATAGCTCATAAGTAAATAAACTCTTAACAGATTAGGTCAACTAACAGTGAAACAGGGATGCCAATTCAAACACAGGGAGTGACAGGCATTCTCCAAGTCAGTAGCTCTGTACTATCGACCTGGCTGAAGTTAGCATGCTTTCCAATCAGTGATGTGTTAAAGATGCCAGCTGTTTCATAGAACATTGTCATTTCAGAGACTCTCTCAGAAAATATAATCCCTTTAGTGTAATATTACAACTTGCTCCAAAAGGAACAAATAAAAAATTTATTCCAAGCTGGCCGATTTCTAGATTCAAAAACAACTAGCAGAAATTCAGTGATCTTTATACTTGAAATACCTGTGATTCTCCAAACCTAAAAGGAGAAAAAATGTTCAAAACTAAAATGCAATTTGAATATACTTTAGTATATACTAAAGAGGAGCAGATTAAACAGTTTTACATTTTTACCTTGCTTTAAAACAACTTCCTCTACCTTAAGCTACTTTTAGTGATAAGTGAATTATACTTATCCCTGGAACTAACCTTTTTAAGCCATCTTCTTTATAAATGACACTGTTTCCAGAAGCTCAAAACAAATGTGCACTTCAGTTATTTATTTCTGTCTTAAATATATAACAGCAGAGGTACATGCTTATAATTCACATTATTAGTTATTTAGGCTATCACACACGACAAAGTGAGCTAACTAGGCGTCTTTAAGGTTAAAAAAAGGAATAGCTTTGAACTTGTTTTCATTTTTAAAGCTGTAAAAATTCTCTTCAACAACTTTTATAAAACGACTGGCTTCAACTGAAATAACAAATATCATTCTGGCTGATGCATTGCAAAATAGATTTAAGAGAAAAAAAGTTCCTTTTAATAATTCTTCCCTGAGAAGAGTCTAAGAATACTAGTACTTAATTTTCTGAAAAGATAAAAGCTGATGAAGGTAAATATGTGATCAAAATCCATAAAATCATGATTGAAAGAAAACTAAAATTATAGATAATTCTTGAAGACTCTAAAAGGTAAATAGTAGGTCAAATAAAAAAATCCTGCCTATAGCAATAAAGTTAAATGACTGATAATTTAAAAATAAATTTAAAAGTATATACACACACATGCACACAAACATGTATTGTCTTATCTTGGTGTCTTTGTGAGGCACATTCCTAGCATTTTAAGTTTAGTGCCGTGCAGACCAATTCCGGTCTTCCAGAAAACCACCTGATGCCAGAGAATAGCGGGCTGCCCTCCAGGTGTGTCTAAGTCAATACTGCACTATACTGTTGTGCTATTAAATAGTAGCAATAGAGCCATTCAAGTTTTACATTCCATAACATGTCCTTTTACTCTTAGAACCATTACTGTAATTTACATTTATACATATGTATACACACACATTTCTGATTATGAAAGTAACACATTTCATTATAGAAAAAAACTGAAAATATAAAGAAGAAAGTAAAAGTTATCCATGGCCCCATAACCTGTTAAAAGTCATCTAGTATTGTCGTGTGGATGTGTATGGACTCTTGTGAGAGTGTGAATGTATGTATTGAGTGTATTTTTTAATAAAATTGCGACCACAGTATGTATGTATGTATGTATGTATGTATATAATTTTTATCCAGCTTTTTTCACTTAACTGTGTACATTTCCCCATTCAACCTTTCATTTCTCAATCTATGTCAAATCATTACTAGAGAACATCTAAGAATCTTTTTGTGAATTTATGTCGAAGCTGCTCAGCATTTAAAGCACATTTAACCTTCCATACACGCATATCATCTCTGGGTCATATACTTACAGAAAATGGCATCGCTGCAGCATGGGCCTCTACACGGCTGATCTTGGTTGCAGGGAGTGCACACGTATCATCAACTAGAAATTAAACAATTTATCGGATAAGACTTACATCATCACTCATCAGACACATTAAAATAAAATTTATAAATACACAAAAATAGCCAGAAGGAGAAAATCATAATAATTACGATTGTGTATCCTCTAACTCAAACTAATTCATAAAGTTCATTTTTCAAGGGTTTGATAACTAGCTAGAACTTCAGAGAATGTTTACCAATTATGAAGTACAATTCCTGTTACAAAAAAAATGAGAATTTACAAAATCAGAAATAAATCAGCTGTGAGAATTGTTACTCCATAGTCCAGAACTAATCTTTTCTAAGAAATTGCTGAATATATTTACAGTATTGTATTTCAGTGTGTGCTGATTTAAATATTTTATGTAAGACAGCAGAGTATTTTATATAATATTTTAATTGAAATGTTTTGTATGTTTACATATGATTCAATCCAAGATGAAATGCAATTCCCATCTAAAACAAAGAAGTCTGATGAATTTATATACAAAAATGGTTCAAAATACAGTATGTGAAACACATTTCAAACCTTCAGATTTGGTACTGAATGTTGTTAGTGAAGTTTCATCTTTAACAACTGCCCCATTTGTACTGGATGATTCAGTTTTAATGGTCTGCTGGGTTACCATAGTTTGTGCGCTGGGAACAGTACTGGATACAGAAGGTTCAGGAATTACTGTTCTTAAGTCCAGGCAACTACTTAGAACACCTATATTTGCTGAAGTGTGAGGACCTAAAATTAAAGGGAGATGATCAATTATTAACATAATACCTGCCGATAATTGTTGTATCTTATAGTTCTTGTCATACAATTCTTGGTATTTTTCAATTTTAACATCATAAACATGAGCACTACAAATGAATTAACCATTAGACATATGAATTAACCATTAGACATAAAATGTTTTGAAAAATAAAGTATATTATAGCCATAACATGTCCAACTTCTCAACATCCTCTTTCATTCTAAACACTAAACCACTGTTCTCAAACTCTACTAAATTACAGATCAAATGGCCCTGCTTCCCATTTTAGGGTATTAGGCATGAATGCCATCAATTTTCTGCCTTCTCCTGCCATACACTAGAAAGCTATTTATCACTGTGGCTATCCTCCCCATCTTCTCTCCCACTTCATAGGATGCACTGACCTCCCTCCTAAGGAAGTTTAATCTGTCCTCCTGCATGTGCTCTTGGTTCCACTCCTCCCCCATATTTTGGGATCCTCTCATCAATTATTCCTCTCTCTTTAGAATTTGAAGGTTCTTTTTCTTCAGTAATTTCGGCTTTCAGTCCATAAACATTATCATCTCCCAAGCAAACAGATGGACATCTGCCTTGACCCCATAAGTCTTCTCCAGTTACCATCTCCCCTCTTTCATTTCCTTCAGAGCAGACTACACTTCCTGGACCTCCCAAAATTTGGTTTCCAGCACACTATGTATTTTAATGAAATGGCTCTGGCAAACATCAATGATTTCTCAGGGATACTTTTCAATTTTCGTTTACTTTACCTTCTGCAATGTAAACTATGCTGACCACATAATGTTCTCTGAAGCTTTTTCTTTATATGACTTATATTCATGCATTTCACAATACTAAAGATTTACTATCTACCAGACGTTATGCTTGTTTCTATATGGTGAAACAAAGCAGGCATGGTCCATAGCTCATGAACTTATTTACAGTCACGTGGTAGATAAAAGACACGCATACACTGGTCACAAACTGTGATGCCCACCATAAAGAAAAAAAAAAATGATATACCAATCTTTTCAGTTCTTTTCCTAACCTTCTAGGAATCCTTATCAATCTCTTTAGCTGGCTTCTCTTCCTCGAATGACTCCTTAAAGGCAGGTGTTCCTACACCTTTTCTCCTTTTACGTAGTTTCCCTGCACTTTAATTACCATTCATGAATCATACATCTCTCAAATACATATATCCTAGGCACTATGGCAGGTGCTGGGGATCTAGCAGTGGACACGACAGACAAGGTCCTCACTTCTGTGGAGCTTACATTTTAGATACCCTTAACTTCTAAATTTTTACTTCCAGCCAAGAACTGAGACTCCAGACCTAAGCATCCAACTGCCCATCAGAAATCTTTACCAATGTTCTTCGAGTACCTCAAAAACAGGAAATTCAGAGTTGAATCTATCTTTTCCCCAAATTTGTTCTTGCTCCTGTATTTTCTATCTTGATGAGTATCAGCATCCATCGAATGCCCAACCCAAAAAGTTGGGAGTCATGTTCAACTCATTTTAATGTTTCATATCTGACCAGTTTTCAAGTCTAATAGATGCTACTTTCTAAAAGTCTCTGACGTGCTCCTTCCTCTCCATCCCACCCAATGTTTTAGTCTCTATGCAGCTCGTGGGAGTCTTAAAAGTATCCTAATCATTTCCCATTATAGTTCTTCCTGACAGTGAGGCTAGAGTGCCCTTTACACACACACACACACACACACACACACACACACACACACACACACACACCTAATCACGCCACTCTTCAACTCTTATAAAATACCAGCTACTCCTGCAGAGAAAAAGCCCAATCTCCTCATTTTAACTTGAGATTGGATGGTCATTTATTCACACATTTGAGTGTTTATGAGGTACAGATACGGTCATTGTACAACCACTCTGGTTTTCCCATTTGCCTATTATTCATTTCACCCAAACTGCCTTACAATGTAGGAGTTAGAGTGCATTGAGATTCTGAAATCTCAAAACTCATATTTGTTTTCAAGAGTATAAATTTCTTTGTAAGATAGACATAGAAAATCACCGCAAGAAAGAAATTTAAGTTGAGGCTGAGGACCAAGCTTCTGTAATTTTGAATAAATGATTTCTTTACATCAGAAAATCAGTAAAACAAAAGCACTCCCCTCTTCCTTAAGCAATAAAATGAGAAAATTATAAGAAATTATTTTCCTTGAATATTTTTACCTACCATCGACTTACAAAGAAAAACAGAAATATAAAGAATATTCATCTTATTAAGTTTGAATCATTGAAGAGGAATTAAATTTGCATCAGCTGTCATGATTTTCAAAATAAAAATAAAGTCCCACGTTCCTATGTCAGGGATATATCAGAATAAGATTTATAAAATAATTTTAGGTACTGAAATCAGAGGCAATGCTTAATATATTTCAAATGGCTTCAGAACACTCAAATGAACTTTAAATATAAGGATCGCCAAATTATAAGCTTTCCTATGAATGCAATGTTCTAATCAACAGTTCTCATAAATGAACTATCTTTCTGAGGATAATCCAGTTACCTGCTATACAAATATTTACTAAGTGACTACTATTTACCAAGCATGGATCTGGGTGCTGAGAAAATAGAGGTGAATGAGATAGACAATATCCCTGTCCAAAATAAATAATGTCAAATAGCTATAAGTGCTAAGAAAACATAGTAATGAGATAGTGACACTGAACACACTGGCCAACTGCAAATGTCATACGAGAGCTTGCCTTATTTAAACCAGAGCTCATAACTGCTCATTAGTATTCAAGTAAGTGCTTGCTGGTATCTTGTATTCACTCATAACGAGGGTCAGTATGGCATGTATATTATTATTTTGAAAATGGATCAAAACCATGTAACATTTACTTTTTCAAAGACTCTAAAATTCCCTACCATTATTATAAAAAGCTTTATTCAAAACTCTCTTTATACCTTCAATTTTCCTTAGCATATCCACCACACAACTATTATGATTAGAAACATTAGTTGCCAAGCACGAATGTAAAACTGCATTAGAATCAGTCGATGCTTTGAGATCCAGTTTGTTCTTCACTGAAGTTCCTTTCACAGCTATATGTTCAGTTTTTGCACTGTTTGTTGTATCATTGATCTATAAGAAATAAAACAGTTTATTGTAGCAAGTAATATTTAAATAGAAATACATGTAAAAATAAGCAAAATAATTTACAACTTAATGCTTTTGAAAATAAGTTTACCAAAATATATAATAGTTTCAATTATATTTTTATTTGTATAGGATTCTTTCTTTAAATTTTGTAATAGTTTAAGAAAATAATTTCTCTTCATTAAATCTCCAACCTCAAAAAGACCAGTTCTGAAGGGGAAAGGAAGGATAAATTTTGAGGGGAAAAAATCTACATTTTTATAAGCTGTAGTTAGTATTCAAGTACATACATATGTTACATAGGTGGTAAGACCAAAGCAACTGAGTTTAACATTCTGGTCAAATTTTCTTAACAAGGTCAGACGTGCATACTACAGCTCTGATGACTCCTAAAAGTAAAATCTCAGTTACACGGAACCTTCAAGCAAACGAATTATTCTGTATAACTGAGCTTTCCATATAGATATCAAGATTTAACACATATACATATTAATATGCTTTACCATTAAACATTTTAGATAGGCATCTTTCTAATTATATTTTCTCTGCCTTCTTAAACACACTATAATGAACGTAGTTAAACTTCTTGATATTTCAAGTCACCAGTGTGAACGTGTTAGTATATAGCAATACCTATAGGCCTACTGAACCATAAAAGTGATCTGGCTTCATTCAAACACCCCAATAGTGCTGCTCCTTTTTAGTTACCTGCGTTTTGTTACTCTTCTGTCTGCACCTTCACTGTCAATTATAACTATATTGTCAATTATAATATCTCATGGCTCTAAGGAGGCTTGTCCATAACATGCCCTATAATTCCCCTCTAATCGATAGCAATGGTGCTACCATCAACAAATAATGATGATGATGAGAGCTGCAACCATTAATGACAGGCATTGTAAAACATATTTATGAAGTCTATGTTTCAATTAATCTTCACAGAAAATCTGTAAATTGGATAATATAACCCCTGGTTTAAACATAAAAAGAAACGAGTCTTAGAAATCTTAAATAATCTACCGACAGTCAGGTAGCCAGCAAGCAGCAGAGCTAGAATCTGAACCTAGGTTTATTTCACTCCAAAGTCTCCGTTATAGTGTCTTTGATGTACACTTTGCTTAAAAATCAAATATCCCATCTAACTAGAAGTGTATAAAATAAGAATAAATAAGCCCTGATATTTTTGTTTAACATAGTATATTAAACACATGTTTCAGGAGATTCCTCCAAAATCTTAAGTCAAATAATCATATAGGAATTTTTTTTTTTAAGTGTAAAGATATATACTTATAAGGACAAGGAAAATGGGAGAAGAGATAACAGTAGGTAAGAAGATATATGGCAGAAAAAGCTGAAGGCTAAGAGCCTATAGGTGGAAAGTCACTAAGAGGCAAACCATTTGTGCCAGACAGTCCAGAAAGCCTTGAGAATTGGAGGCATCAAGGTTCTCTGGAGACCGAGGTGCATAGAACAAGTCAACACCTGGGGACCGTCATACAAAAGACTATATAAAAAGTGGTTGTAGCCCCAGCTCTGCCCTTCCAGCACACGAAACCAGACAAATTTCTCTCCCCCATTCTAACTGAAGTTGGGAACTAGGCAGAAAGGTTGAAATGTGAGGCTCTGGACTGTGGTGTGGTGTCCCTCAGGTGAGGACGGAGGAGGGGCACCCACACTGAACATGAGGATTAAGTGAAAGTCTGCACGCTGAACAAAGAGACACCACTCAGTCCTGCATTCCCTCACTAAGCTCCCAGGAAGCTGAGAACCAGCTTATAACCCTAGGCAAGAGCTGGGGGAATTCTCAGGGAAATTCATTGGTCCAAGAGAAAACACCTACAGATACTGATATCTGTGGATCCCCCATCCAATTACTTTATTGGGGCCTACTAATCAACGAGCCATGACTGTATGCATAAACCTTCTACTGTCTTCCCAACACCTGTGTCCCCCACAAATTCGTGTGTTAAAACCTAACCCCCCAGGTGATGGTATTAGGAGGTAAGGGCTCAGGGGGTGATTAGTGCCCTTAAAAAGTGGCCAAAGAAAGCTCCTTTGCCCCTTCCACTGTGAGGATACGATGAGAAGTCAGCAGTCTGCAACTGCTAGGGTCCTCACCAGGGTCCTCACCAGAACTTGAGCATGCTGTTAGTAAGCCTCACAGTCTATAGTATTTTGTTACAGCAGCCTAAATGGACTAAGACACCTTCTGAGCTCCTTTTAATGCCTCACTTTAAACAATGAAGGACAGCCAAGCCTCACCAGACAACTGATGACAGCCTCTAACATGAAAGTCCAAGATCAAAACAAATTTTTAAAAAAGGAGCTTGAAAAAGGAGATTTTGCTGAGAGCAGAATATTAACTCCAAAAATTTTTAAAAAGCGTAATTCTTAAAGACAGTAAAAGATATTACATTTATAAAGCAAGAATAAGACAATATAAAATAAATAAAAAATAAGATCGAGCTCTTAGAAATTAAATGTGTAGTTGAATATATTTAAAAACTGAATAGAAGATTTACAATATAAATGAAGAAACTTTTAAGAAAGCAAAATAGAAAGATAGAAAACAGGAAATAAAAAGTAACATCAGAGGATTACTTCAAGAGGACCATCATTCAATAATTAATGAGAGTTTAAAAAATATGAGAAAGAAAATGGAGGGAAGAAATAATCAGTACCATCCATGGTTTCGTGCATGCACTGGGAGGTCTTGGAATGTATTCCGCCCTCACAGATAAAGATAAGGGGGGACTACTATGTGTGTGTGTGTGTAGTTTATTAACATGGGCAGCTCAGAAATAACTGTATGGGCTTCACCTGTTACATATCCTTCCTGACATAATAAGCCTTTTCTGCTTATTACTGGTCCTCAGCCATGTTCAGAATATATGAGCCTATACCTGTATCACTTCCCTTGAAAAGAGTCTCCTGTGAATGTAGATAGCAGTTTGCCAGATAAAAACAGTGTAAATACTAGTAAGCTTATTCATTAGTCTCCACAAATACCTACTGTGAAGCATTTCATTAACAAAAAATAACCTCACAAACACAGGTGCTGAACTTGGCAACTCATATTCTTTGGTAAACAAAATATGTAGCAAAGAAATATATTTCATATATATTTTTGAAATGTATCTTTAGAAGTTTAAAATGAATGTATGATATTAAGAAATGTCAAAATATAGATTTCAAGATACTGTAAGTATAAATTATAATGGATTAGCCTCAGATGCTATGTGTAATGAGGCTAGACTTCAATCTCTTGGCCAGGGGGTCTTAATTCAGGCTAATGTCAAAACAGTCTATGGAGCATCCCTTAAAAACAGAGCTACCCGGCCATCAGTCTAAAGATTCTGCTACTAGATCTGGGGAAAGGTTTAAGAATCTGCTTCTGTTTGCTTTTTAATCTGAGAGGTGATTCTGATATGCAGCAGGGTTGAGAATCCCTGTCCTAGGGTAATATGCTAAAAACAGTAATAAAAAATGGGATTGTAACCATACATGTTCATTTACCATCCTAAATTTTTTTAACTTACGCTGTTGGGAACGATGCTATTACTGCCTTGTCTGTGAGGATCCATCCTGACTCCTGCAGAAATGAGAAAGTTCAGACAGATATGCTCTAAATAAGCTTCAATAAAAAATATTACAATCAAATAGTTTTAAAAGTTACATATAAAGGCTTAAAAATGTAGTATCTTCATTCAAAGTTTATCTGCTTCCTTAATAGTTTGCTTAATAGTTGACTGAAATCCTTTCTGGAAGAACATGTAAAATTAAATTTGCTTTTACTTTCCGAGTGCCTGTTAAAAATACTTTCGAAAAAAGCTGAAATATTTATGAAAGCTAATTAAAACCATCTCCTGAAGTCAAGTAGCTTGTCAAATTAAGAAAGTCCATCAAAATGAACTGCAGGAGAAACATTCTACCCTACATATCCTTGTTCAACTATATCATGATAGTAAGACAGTCACGTTTCAGAGTGGAAACACAACATACTGAATTTACCAGACAGAAAACATCATATAAAATTTCTTAAACTAGGCCTATTTACAGGCTTTTCTGCAGTATCTTTAAAAACAAAACAAACAAACAAACAAAAAACATGAGCACACATGCTTTAAGCGTGAATATTATGTTACCTTGCATATTTGGTGCTGCTGAAGAATCTGATGACACAGCTTGGTACGGCAAGTCTGTATTCAGCTGCAAAAGATAACCCTCAACCGTAGGTACTTCATCCCATTTGACATGAAAAGAGTTGGTAGTGGCTTTGATCAGTTGTACTTGTGATGGTGCTGGTGGTTTTTCTAAAGAACAATATCGATATTATACATTTAAGTTTCAAATGTATCAACAGTTTGCCTATAAAGTCTGTGTGGACCTGGAGCTCTGAAAATGTTAGCAATGAGTATTTCATCTGTTTACCAAGAGGGAGAAAATTTACTTATCTGATCATAGCTATAGTTGGTCAAATGAAAATAGTTCGAGGTTCTGACTCTATTTATTTATTTATTTCCTTATACAAATAAATCTACAATCTAGTTCCAAGCTATTTGAGTCATCAGATTCAGAAAAAATGTTTAATCCTAGAAGTGGGCGAGAAATCAAGTATTACATAGTTATAGCTACATAATTTTACCCTCTAAGTTTTTAATTTAATGAGCCAATTTTTAGCCAATAATATACATATTAGAAATACTGTTACTGTTAGCAAAGATGATTCAGGTATGATATTTTTAGAAAAACATAACTTCTTTGAAGTTAATACTCTCTTATCAAAACTTGTACTACCCCACACAGGTAATTACTTTGGTATAAAATATTACTAACATTTTCCAAACAAATAATCATAGACTCTTATAACTGGAAAAAAGGACCTGACATTATTTCTACAATATCCTTGGTCCTCTTTTAGTTTACCTACTAAATCATGGAACTCACAATTCTCAAGGCAATACATTCCATCTTTGCATAGTTATATAAAGAAATTTATTCTTCTAGTGAGTTGAAATCTATAAACTATAATTTAATCCTTACAGAACAAGTCTAATATCTATCTCTTTGTATCTTTTAGAGTAAGGGTCAGGAAACTATGCTCATGTGCCTGTTTTTATAAATAAAGTTTTATTAAAACACAGCTATGCTCATTTATTTATATATTGTTAATGACTGCTTTTGTGCTATCACAGCAGAGTTGAGTAGTTATAACAGAGACCATATGACCTGCAAAGCTTAAATATTTATTGCGTGGGCCTTTACAGAAAAAAATTTGATGGGCCTGTTTTAGAGCAACCATCTCTAACCTTTCTGGCACCAGGGACTGGTACTCCTATGAGAATCTAATGCCTGATGATCTGAGGTGGAGCTGAGGCGATGATGCTAGTGCTGGGGAGTAGCTGCAAATACAGATGAAGCTTGGCTCACCTCCTACTGTGTGGCCCGGTTTCTAACAGGCCATGGACCAGCAGATATGTGGCCTGGAGGTTAGGGACCCATGTTTCAGAGAATAATTAAGCCTAGTTCCTTCAACTATTCCTATGTAAATTCCTCTACGACTCCATTCACAATCCAGTTTATTTATGTTTTTCAAAGTAAGGCAACCTGTTCTTGAACAAGAGCAGACGATAAGAAGACAAGTCTAGGAGGTACACACACCATCCACATAATAGAAGGTACATTAGGAGAGGACAGAGAAAACAGTAGAGTGTAAATCAATGAAATAAGTCAAGAAAATTCCCATAAATGAAGAACATGAGTTTCTAAACTGAAAGGACCCACTGAATACTCAACATGATGTTTTAAAAACAGACGCACAACAGGCACATTATCATGAAAATTAATAAGGAGGACAAAGAAAAAAAATCCTAAAAGCTATCAGGGATGATGGGAAAGTTCACATTTAAAAGGACTGAAAATCAAAAGTGGTTTAAATTTCTCAACAAAGACACTAGAAACCTGAATACAGTATAAGAATGTTTTCCAAATTCTTGTGTAATAATTTCTAATGTAGAACTCTCTTTCCATGCACACTGCCAATTTAATGAGAAGGAAGACTGAACATATTTTCAAACAATGCAAGACTTCAAAATAAATCTGTCACCTATGCACCCTTCTCCTGGGGTGTGCTCCACAAAAAAATGAGGAAGTAGACTAAGGTAGGGAAAAATATGGGGCCAGGACAAAGGGATTCTAGCAAAAGTGAGAAGCAACACATATTCCTGGGAGATGATGGAGGGAGACTCCCAAGATGATAGCTGTGCTCGATCTGTGGAGGGTAATCAGCCCAGACTGGAGCAGAAGAAATTTCTTCAAGATGATGGAATCTGACAGAACATCTGATGCATCTAACCATAATGAGATGAAAGATTTAAACGACTAACAGAGAGTATGGATTGAATTAGTGGTAAATACATATAACTCCAAAACAAACAAAAGTGACAATTATTAATCCACAGCAAATAAAAAATTGTGCGAGGAAAGCATTCGCAATATTCTACATGGCTCGCCTGTGAACAGTGTTTATACAGTCATGATGTAAACACTGAATATTCACTTAACAAAATTATGGTGTAATCATATTGAGACACTAGGAGGTAGGGAAGGTGCATAGGAGAGAGGTGAGGAATGGTAAGAAGAGATAAATCCTTAACTTCCATAGTACAAAGTGAACACATTATACCTAAACTTAAAAAAATCAAAATAACAATATATTTATGTTCTATGAAGATGTAGAAGTAAATACCAAAAAAATTGTTTAACAGAGTTGAAAGAAGATGCTTTTGAAGCAAGGAAAATAGAAGAAGGATGGGCACAAAAGACTATTTTTCATGAAAAGCCTTATGGAATTATACTACTCTTTTAAATGTTATCAAATGCACAAAGTTTGACTAAAAGTGAAAAAAAGGCAAGATGAAGAACCCTCATTCCTCACCCCCAATATTGATGCCATTTATCTATCTATCTATCTATCTATCTATCTATCTATCTATCTATCTATCATCTATCTATCTATCATCTATCTATCTATCTCTATCTGTCTGTCGTCTGTCTGTCTATCTATCTATCTATTTAATGGTGACATTGGTTAACAAAATCCAGTAAGTTTCAGGTGTACAATTTAATAGTAAGGCATATATATATTGCATTGAGTGTTTACCTCCCATAGTTAGATTTCTTTCTGTCACCATATATTTGACCTCTTTTACCCCATCTACCTCCCTCCTCCCCCTGATGCCAATTTATTAAAAGGAAAAGCAAAATTTAAGATTGCCCTTATGATAATAGCCATTTATGTCTAAAGTCTCCCATTGTAAGGTCTATGGAAAAACTGGCCATTCAGAGACAATGATTTTTACCCTTTTAAATGCCACAGATCCCTTAGAGAATCTGCTTAAAGTGACATATTCACTACTGAGAAACACACATGCACATATTTCTTCCATTCTCAGAGAGACTGAAACTTATCCTTGGGCTTTAGTTAATAATTCTCAATTTCAAAGATAGATCAGTAAGTTGAATTTTCTACATTTCTCTCCCACTTGCTAGTATGTGCTTCTTTCATAGAAAGCATTTAGTCTCTAATTTTGTTCTATTTAATGTTTTTTCAATTATCTTAATTTTAAAATAAAATGTGTTTACATTACCAAAGTAATGCATACTACTGTAGAAAACACAGATAAGAGAGAAAAACTTTTAAGAAAAGGTATAATTTCACCTCTTAAATAATACTTCAGTACCCAGTGTATTCTTCCATATTTTTGTTTATACACTTAAAAAAAAAGTAGAATCATAGTATGTTTTATATATAATATGCCTTTCTCATATAACACATATTACATCTCCAGATCTGATTTCTCAACTGGCTTGCAGACTTTATTCACTCAACTGCCTACTTCATCTTGTTATTTCAAACTTAGCATGGTCTAAATGGAACTTTTAATTTTCTTCACAAGCCTGTTTTCTCCTCAGACTTCCACATCTCAGTAAATGGAAATATCACCAAATTTTTCAAGCTAAAATCTTTATCCTCCACTTCCCTCTTTCTGTCATCTGCCACACCCAATTTATCAGCCAGTTCCACAAGAACTCCAAAATATATTCTAGATTTATCCATTTCTCCTCATATCCATTGTCACTACTACAGTGTAAGACTTTCTTGACAACTGCAAAAGCCTCCCATCTTGTCTCCTTGTGTGCCCTCCTGACCTCTACAGTTTATTTTCCACACGACTGCAGTGGCTCTTCCAAAATGTTCAATTGATCATGGCATATTTCTCCTTAAAACTAATAAATAACTTACCACTGTATTTTAAAAACAATTTAAACTCTACCATGATGTTCGAGGCCCGACATGATCTGTCCTGTGGTTGTCTCTCTGACATTGTTCCTGCACTCTCTTCTTTTGCTCAGCTCAAATACATCACCAAAAAAACACGCCAAGTACTCCCATCTCAGGGCCCTTGTACTCGCTGTTCACTCCTTCTGCAATGTTTTCCCTTAGCTTTTTACATGGATAGCATCTTCTCACCACTTGGATTACATTCCAAATGCCAGCTCATTCTTTTCTACGTACCCATTTTGAAGTAGCCATCCCTCTCCTGAAATTCCTAGAACACCTCTCCCTGTCACTATCTCATTGTTCTTACTGTCTTCATATGCTTACCAGAAATTGAACTTACTTTGTTCATTTGTTTGATTACTGTCCATCATCGCCCTGCCCTCACATTCTCTTAGAATTTAAGTCCTTTGGCAGCAGGGATATTATCAGTCTTGTTACTGCTGTATTCTCAGTATTTAGAACAATTCCTGGTACACAGTTGTCAATCAATAAATACTTATTGAAGAATGGATGTGAGTTTCATATTTTAAAAAAATTTTGGTTGTGATACTTTTAAAAAATCTTTTTATTTTGGAATAATTTGTAGATTTATAGAAAAATTGCAAAAAAAGAGTTCCTACATACCCTTTACTCAGTTTCCCCTAATGCTAACACATTTGTGAAAATTAAGAAATTAACATCAGAGTACTATTAACTAAACTACAGACTATTCAATTTTTCACTTAATGTCTTTTTTGTTCCAAGATCCAATCTAGGGTACTACCTTGCATTCAGTCATCATGTCTCCTTAAGTATCTTCCAATTTGTGACTGTTTCTCAGTTTTTTCCTTGTTGTTCATCACTTTTAAAATTTAAAGAGTATTGTTCTGTAGACCCTATATACATTCTCATAATTAGAGTGCGGTTATGGGTTTTGGGAAACAGTACTACAAAAGTAAGTTTCTTACCACATGATATGGGATACTATTTTTCCCTTTCCATAGTCTATTCTTTGGAAGGGAGTCACTAAAAGCAGTCTACACTCAAGGGGAGGGAAATTAAGAAACTTCCCTGGAATGAAAAGTATCTCTATATAATTATTTCCTCTATGTATTTTTAATTATGAGAAAGAAAGGCAGGCAGTGGCATTTACAATAATTCTCAAAAGACAGACATTATTCGAATATTTATCTACCTAAAGGAAAAACTATTTGTTAAATACTCTTACCTACCAGTATCAAGATACCAAAGATCCTTGCAGCAAACTTGACTATTCAGTGCTTTTTTGTAGCCATCTCTCCCACTCCAAAAATACAATCGAGTGCCAACTGCAACAGCACAGTGTCCGGCTCTTGGTCTCGGTCTTAAATTTTTTTTATCTTCCTGAGAATCTGATACTAGGGTGGTCCACTCTGCTGTATCTGAAGAAATAGAAACATCCATGACTAATCTATTACTCTCTTAAACAACAGAACAGAAATGTGTTTAATACATTTTATTTCAATAAGTAACTCTAAAAAGACTCACCCAGATTTAGGTAAGAAAATGAACTAGTACATCTCCATTCACAATCATGAGGTGAAGTCTCAGTATTTTCCCCCTTATGTGGAACCCATCCACCAAAAATGTACATCCTGAATAACAACAACAAAAAAAGAACATAAAGTAGCTGAATTTTTTCTAAAGCTTTAATTTTATTTTTTTAGATTTAAAATGCTAAGAATAGACTTAACTTTCTTATCTGTTGACTAGTTCTGTAGTTACTCACTATCATGTCAAGGTAATGGGAATAAGATAATGAATAAAGTGGTCTCTCGAGAGTTTGCAAATTTTATGAAGCAATGAAGAATCAAAATTATTTCTCTCTGGTGAGTTATCTAAAGTGGGGAATATCCCAATTATAACACATCTGACAATCAATATTGTATGTAACATACTTAAGGGTATCTCAGTCAGAAAGACACTCTGATGATTGATGACATTCAAACTCATGTTTAGAATTGTATGTATATAGTAACCAAAGAAGATTAAGTTTCATATAACTTAGGCCACTGACACCACTCAAATGAAAAACTTTAAAGTATATTCCTCAGGCCTTAGGGGTCCTTGAGACTTGCCTAATGGCTACTGAAGGACAAAGGCTCATCGGGAAGAGCTTGGAGCCCATGTGACTTCAAGCCAACCAGAGAAGCTCTATTTTTTAAATCTATATTATATATTATAGTTTCAATGAAAAGTAGCCTTTTATAAAAGAGTTCTGCTGTTTAAAAAATATCTATTTTGTTTATGTCTATTTTTTAAAAGAAAAATGAGGTTCTAAATTATAACTAGTTGCTTCCTAAAACATTACTTTTAAGGCAAAGTCCCTATATAAGTAAATACTTAATTAAATTCTATTTAAACAATACTCCTAATTCTGGTCCACTGTTGCACAAATAAGGTAACTTGATGATGATAGTAACAGCTAACCATTCAGAAGTGTTCTCTATGGGCCAGGCACTGTTTGAATCATTTTATATATATTAATCCATTTAATCCTTATGACAACCTTGTGAAATAGATTTTATTATCATCTGCATTTTATGTTTGAGGAAATAGGGGTACAGACAGATTTAAGTTTCCTTGCCCCAGGTCATAGAGGAAAAGTAGCAAAGCTGAGACTTGAATTCGGGTAATCTGGTCACAGAGTCTATAGTTTAACCATAATTCCATCCAAAGTATAATCACTGAGTGCACATACTGAGTACATACCTGAGTACATATCAAGGACTACCAAAAACATGCAAAAAGAAACAGTGAGTTACGTGTGTCAAACCTGCTGACAGAGTGCAGATCAGTCTGATGACACTCTGTTTTAAACTTAATACATATTTTGTGCAAGGCATTCTAAGGAACATAAGTATAAGAGGCAGCATTAGAAAATGGCACATTAGATATTTTAGCTTCCATAGGCATGTTATTTTAGCTTCAGTAAGCATAATCAAACATCGTTAAATTCAGTAATATATTTCCAAGAAACTAGTAGCATCGCTCTTCTTTGTGTGTTATCTTTCTTAAGTTAGTTAAAAAAAAAAAGTAAAAACAAAAACCAAAAAAACCCATACTTGTTTCCTATAACGCTGGCTGTGTGAAGGCTTCGTGGAAGTGGCACTGTCCCTTTAGTTTCTGGTTTTGACCATGACATAGTTTCTAAAAGCAAAAAATAAGCATATTAGCAACTTGATCTAACAATAGCAAAGTACCTCGACTTGCAGAATTTAGAAAAAAAAATAAAATCAAAAAGGACTTATTAAAACGAAGCAAAAATATTTCAAACCACTATTAGAATTTCATCTTAAACATTTCCAGCTGACATCAACTGCCATTCACAGAAATCTATTTACACTTGAATGTTAGTGCTTGTAATAATGAAGTATATTTAGGGTGCCACCATTTTGAATTGAGACCAGATTAGGGATTTTAACATTTTAAGTAAGTGTACATTGTGCAGAAGATGGTCAAAAGTGAAAGGTATATCTATTCTCCAATTATTCATTCCTAGGATCTCTTCAAAAAGAGCTACCCACGGATTTTTCACTGACCAGCAATAACCTTACTAATGCTGCCTTTCCTGTAGGTAGAGTAACCATATAAATTTGATCATCCGTAGCTGAGCTACTTTACAGAGAGAACAAGGGTACTACTGATAATTACATGGTATGATAAGATGAACCAGGACCATTCCAGGCAAACCAGGACATACGGTGACCCTACTTATAGGGAGCACAGGAGAGTTACTGTCATATATCAAACATTCATTTGTTTAATCTCATTGATCAGAAACCATTCACATCACAACCCACTCGCCCTGTGGATGGCTACAAGCACTAGATATAAATATAAGTGCAACTCAATAAATACTGTACTCAAAAATATTTTTAAAGCTATTTTTTATTTGCCTTTATCAATCATAACCAATTTCTGAGCCTGAATTGAGCTAAGCTTACCTAAGTCAAGTTGCCACAGGTCATCCAGGCGAGCACCACACATTCCACCGAAGACATACATTTTAGGACTCCCAGAATCTTTTTTGCAATATATAACAGCTGTGTGGGATTCTCTTGGAGAAGGCACAATCCCTTTAGTCACTGGAATGCTCCAACCCACAACACCAGAACCATGCTGCAGCTCCAACTCATAAAAATCATTTAAATATCTAGGATATCATGAAAGAAATTAAAACATTAACATATAGATACCTTTTATTTGCTTTTTGTTTCTATCTATAAAGATAATGTATGCTTATTGTGAAAAATTCATATAGTACCAAAGGGCATTAGGAGGGCAGAAACCCGTATTTATCAACACATATTTATCAAACATTGCTGTGTACCAGGCACTCTTCTGGGGATAAGTAGTGAACAGAAGAGATCTAAAAAATTTCTGCCATCATTTAGCCAACACTCTTGTCCATGACAACAACTCTAATTGTTTCAAAATATAGCTGCAAATTCTCTGTCACTATGCCCACCAGGAGGTAAGGGTCTACGTCCTCTCCTTGTGGGGAGGCTTGTGACTGCTTCGACCAACAGAGTATGATAAAATGATACTATGTGACCCTCTGAGGCTCAGTTACAGAAGGTGAATGCAGCTTTACTACAGAACGCCTGCTCTTGGAATCCTGAATCACAACATAAGGCCAACTATCACAAAACCACCATCTGGAGAGGCCATATGTAAACACACAGGATGACAGTACTAGCTGAGTGCATCCTTGAGCCATTTCAGCTGAGGCATCAGACATAGAAGTGACCATTCACGCCTTCCCATCTGAGTGCATAGTTATCACTGCTATGCCCTATATGAATTCCTAAAGCACAGAATCCATGAGCATAATAAAGTGGTTGTTACCTTGCATCACTAACTTTTGGGGCAGTTTACTACATGGTACAAGATAACCAGAAAAAAATCACTATTGACAATAATTCGTAAGATCTCTCTATGAATACCTACATATGTAAAAATGAGGCATACGACAAATGTTGCTTTGCAAGTTTTCCTTTTTTTAAAATTTTCACTCTATAATGTTGTCTACATAGCTGTCTACATAACAATGTTGTCTACATAGCTGTCTACATAACAATGTTGTCTACATAACAATGTCTACATAGCTTTTTTTTTTTACTCTAGAAACTGACATGGATGTTTTGAATGTTTTGAGCAAAATGACTTTTATAGAAACCTATTTCCTATCAAATTATCAAGTATGAGAGCAAAATTAAAACAGTTGAGGATATATAAAACTTTAAAGTTTAGCCATTTAATTGTTTTAGGGAAAAATGATTCTAAAAATATTTTTAAAAAGTGATTCTAGATGTGAATCAGGAAAAATTAAAAGAAATCCAAGAAAGAATACATTGAATAAGAGAAATAATAGTGCAAAGAAACCAGTAATTTATGATTCCATTTAAATTGATGTTGAGAACTGTGGTTGTTGAGATCTAAATAATCACTAAGAAAGACTAAAAAATTAATTTCTTAACATTATTGTAATCTGGAACAAGGTTCATGATTATATAGAACATATGGAAAAAGAAAGTAAGCAAAAAAGCCTAAAGATAAAAGTAGAAATCTATTCCTAAATGTTTGGTAATTTCTGAGCAACTAAGGGAAGCACAGAATTAGCACATATAACTTTCAAATCACTATAAGTAAAGAAAGAATTTAAAAAAAACAAAAATCAAGAAAAAGTAAAGAAAAAGAAAAAGAAAGCACAGTTTATGAAAAGCAGTTAATAAGATGACCAGGAAAAAATAACACTATAAATAGTATCAAAAGAAAAAAGACAAACTGTGAAAATGAATTTGGTACACATCACAGAAAAAGATCGAATTTTCTTAAAGAACTCCTACCAAATCAAGATAATGACAATCACACAAGACATAGATAAAAAAGATATAAACTGACATTTCACAGAATAGGAAATAAAAATTACATAAATGTGTATACATATACACACTAACACGGATATACAAACATACATACATATACGAACACAATATTCACCCTCATCACAATTTAAAATATCTAGCAAAGGCAGGAAAAGCGGGGCAGGGTAGGGGAGGGCAACAAGTAAAGTAGATAGAAGACATAAAATACAAGGGCAGGGAACAACTTCCCTATTATAAAACAAAGTCTCTTGGGATGGAGAACTTCCTACAGCCTCAGAACACAGCCGAGGGGTAACATAATCCTGATACTCAAATCAGATTAGAACAGCACCCTACTCCCCCAAATAAAGACAATAAAGGCAAATTCATTAATGACTATAGATAGTAAAAATAAATGTTGGCAAAGTGAATTCAGCAAAATATGAAAAGAATACTGTAACACAATAAAGTAAGGTTTAACTAAGAATATGGCCAAAGCCATAATCAAAGGAAAGTATATAGCATTTATTATGAAACAATACTGAAAATAAATGAATAAGAATTCAAATTAGAGAACTTAACTGCAGAACTTAATAACATAGTCACAAAATAAAAAAAAAAGAAACAGTAAGTTCTTTATATACCTGAAGTGAATGAGAACTACCTCAACATTCATTTTTTTGTTGTTGTTAAAAAAGAGGAAAAAACTAGTTAGCAAACTAGAATTTTAGAAAACTTGCTTAATCTGATCAAAGACATACTAAAAACCTAGAGCGAACATCACAATTAATGACAGAAAGGTAATTATATTAACGAAACAAAATAGAGTCTAAAAGAAGAGGTGACAAACTTTTTTTGTAAAGGGCCAGATAATAAATATTTTAGGCTTTGCAGGTCAAAAAGTCTGTCACAACTACTGAGCTCTGCTCTTTTAATAGAAAGCAGCCTGGGACAATATGTAAATAAATGGGTATGGCTGTGTTCCAATAAAACTTTATTAACAAAAACAGGCAGCAGGCCATATTTGACCTACAGAGAATATTTTGTAACCCCTGGTCTACAAAGCCTAGAAAAAGGCACATTTATAGGAGGATATAGATATGACACAGATGGGAATGCACATTAACAGGGGAAAAAAATGGCTTATTTAATAAAGGGTGGTGGGAGAATTGGTAATCTATTAAAAAGAAAAAGCCTCACAGTAGTCACAAAAATACATTCCAGGTGAATTGATGTTTCAAACGAAAACCAAATCTGTGAATGTACTGGAAAAAAATATAGAAAAATTATTTTTATAATATTGAGGTAGGAAAGTTTTCCTAAGCAAGATCCAAAACCAGAAAGCCACAAGAGAAAAAACTGTCAAATTTGATAGACCAAAAATGAAAACTCTTTAAAAAAAAAGTCAAATAGAAGACTTGGAAAAAATATTGGGAACATTAAACAAAAACTATAAAGAACTCCTAAGAATCAGTAATAAAAACTGAAATAAAAAAAAATACAATTAAAAATAATAAATGACTTCAGTAAAGTCAGAATATAAGATCAATATACACAGACCAACTGTATTTCTATATACTAGTAATGAACAATTCAAAAATGAAATTAAGAAACCAAATCTATTCAAAATGTCATCAAAAAGAATAAAAAATTATAAATAAATTTAACAAAGTAAAGCAAGACTCGTACATTGAAAATCTCAAAATACTGCTCAGAGAAATTAAAGAAGACCTAAATAAATGAAGAGACATTCCATGTTCATGGATTGGAAGTCAATATTAGTAAGATAGCAATTCTCCACATTGATCTATATATTCAATACAATCCCTATCAAAATCCCAGCAGAATTTTTTGCAGAAATTGGTAAGTTGATTCTAAAATTTAAAAATGCAAAGCACCCACAACAGCCAAAACATTCTTGAAAAAGAATAATAAAATTTGAGAATTTACATAGTCTGAATTCAAAACTTACTATAAAGCTAAAGTATGGTATTGGCATAAGGCTAGACATATAAATCAATGGAACAGAACTGAGTCTAGAAATAAACCCTTACACTTAGAGTCAATTGATTTTCAATCAAGATGCTAAGTCTAGTTTTTTCAACAAATGGTGTTAGGACAACTGGATATCCACATGTAAAAAGGTGAATTTAAACACTTTACCCCAGGCATAAAAATTAACTCAAAATAAATCGCAGGTATAAATATAAGAGCTAACACTATAAAACTTTTAAAAGAAAATAGAGGAACAAATCTTTATAATCTTGAAATAGGAAGAGTTCTTAAATATTAAAAGCATGATCCATCAAAGAAAAAATTGATAAACTAGACTTATCAAAATTAAAAACTTTGAGCTTCAAAAAATACCATTAAGAAAATGAAAAGACAAGCTACAGACTGGAAGAAAATATTTGCAAATCACATTTCTGATTAAAAAAAAAACAAACAAATTTGTATCCAGGATACAATTCAATAAGAATACAAAAAAAAAAAAAAAAAAATCAATGAAGATTTGAATAGAAATTTCACCAAAGAAATATACAAATGGCTAAAAAGCTCATGAAAAGATGTTCAATATCACTGGCCATTAGGGAAATGCAAATTAAAACCATAATGAGGTACTACCTTATATCCACTATGTTGACTATACGATAAAAAGGCAGACAATAACAAGTGTTAGCAAGGATGTGGAGGAATTAGAACCTTTCTACATTGCTGGCGGGAATGTAAAATAGTATAGCCACTTTGGAAAATAGTTTGGTAGTTCTTACGAAGCTAAATATAAATCTACCACATGACCCGGCAATTCTACTGCTAGGGTTCTGACCAAGAAAAAGAAATATGTGTCCATACAAAGACCTGTATGCAAATATTTAATAGTAGCATTATTCATAAAATTCAAAAACTGGAAACAATCCAATTGTCCATCAACTGATGAATGGATAAACAAAATGTGATCTATCCATACAATGGAGTACTATTTGGCAATAAAAAGGAAGAAATATTTGATACACGTTACAAGATGGTTGAACCTCAAAAACATTACGCTAAGTGAAAGAAGATAAATGCAGAAAATCACATTTATACAAAATGTCTATAAAAGGCTAATCTATGGAGATGGAAAGTAGATTAGTGGTTGCCTGGGGATCAGGATGGGAATGGGACTGACAGCAAATGGATAAGAAGTTTCTTTTTGGAGTGATGGAAATCTTCTAAAACTAGATCGTAGTGATGGTTACTCAATACTGTAAATTTACTAAAAATCATTGAATTGTACATATAAAAGGGTTAAATTTTATGGTATATAAGTTATACTTCAATTTTTTAAAGAAGAAAAATGAAGATGGATATGAACTATTTCAAAAAAGGAATTGCAAATGTCCAATAAGCAGTTAATCAAGCTCATTCCATTTTTTTCTGCAACTTTTCAAAAATTTTATTACTAGTTTCAAGTATATACTACATTGGTTAGACATTTAGTTTATGAAACAATCCCTCTGCTTGCTAAGCTCATTCCCAGTTTTAAAAAAATCAAAGTAAATCCATGAAATGTATTCACATATTAGCTTGGCATAAACCAAGAGTGAGACAATTCAGTATTGGCAAGGGTATAGGCACTCTCGTACACTGTTATTAGGAGCAAAAATGGTTCCTTCTCTTTGGAGGTTGATTCAGGAGTATCTAACAAACTTAAATGTAAATACCTTTTGACATCCTCTGCAATTCCACTTGTAAGTATCAATCTTACAAAAATATTTATACATGTGCAAAGACTGCAGTAACAACAAAAAAGTAAATATTTAAATGTCCATCACTAGGGGAATGGTTAAATAATTTGCATAATTCAGACTACTTTTCAGCCTTACAAATTTAGGTCAATCTATATTGTACTGCCATACCATAATATATATCATTAAAGGAAAACAAAAACAAACAAGAAAACAACTAAAGTTGCAAAGCAAAACAAAAGATCTCCCTTCCATAAATGAAAATACAAGTCTGTGTAGGATCAGATCAATGTTCTCAACTCTCCTCTCCCAGTAAGCAGAACATACATCCCTGATCACTGACTGAGGGCCGGCCTTATGGCTTGCTTTGACCAATGGAATGCGAACAGAAATCAATGTACTAGCTTTAATCAAAGGCTTTAAAAAGCATTGCATGTATCTATTTGCACCCTCAAGTAGCATAAACTTGAGAAGCTTGCCTGCTATATATAATAACCTAATGAAAGCTGACTAATACAATGTGTTACATGAAAAAGGTCCCAAAAGATACACACCCAGTTGAATTATGTGTGCTCACCTATGTTAGGGGGCAGCGATGCTGTAAGAAAGAACTTTATGTACTTTGTAATTTCTTCAATTTTTCTAGTTTCTAAATTTTCCATATTTTAGTATATGTTATTTTTTTAAGTTTGAAAAAAAAAAACCAAGACTCTAACATTAACCTAATGTAGGTAAAAAGACATATTATCATGGTCATAATAACTACTGTACTATATGCTTTAAAAATTATGCCAATGATCTTATTTAATCATTACAGTGACACTGAAAGGCATTTAATCACTCCCATTTCATGGTGAAGGAAAATGGGCTTCGATTATTTCTACTAAAGGAAATACATAGTAAGCAGTGAATCAGAAAACAGCCTTTTGAACTCTGAATCTCCAAATCTCGAGTGCTATAATGACAATGCGATCAAAACTCTATGCGAAAAGAAAAGAGGTCATGAATAATTCTGTCTGGAACAACTAGGGGAGGATTGGTTCAAAAAGCATTTGCTTGTGTGAACTACTCTAATAGCTTCTTGCACAAAAAATGGAAAAGATGGCCTTCATGTAATAGGTTTTGTCTCCAAATTCCCAGAGAAAACTTAATTCAAAAATAAAAAACAATTCTTTTCATTATCACTTATGACAACTAAAATACATTATGGTTCAAAAGATACAAATATATTGCAATGAGCAGTTATATTAATATCGATTCAATAAGGATTTCCTATTAGAAAAGGCATAGTTTTGAAAACGGATATACTCCAGGGACTAAGGAAAACACAAATGCACACAAATTTGTTCATTGTTAAATTTAAATGCAAAAGGCTAAACTTTATCTCTTTTAATAAATAATGACAGAATAAATTAAATATTCTTAATCTAAATCATAAAATAAGCATTTGGTCTGAAAAAGAGTGGGCATACCTGGGAACATTGTTGTTTGAATCTTCACTTTCATTTGCCAGGCCACCAAACAAATAGCATTTGTTACCATATAAAGAAAAGCTATGTCCAAGCCTAGGACAAGGAGGTAAACCAGAAGAAGGGGGATGGGGTTTCACTTTTTTCCATAACCAACGACTTGCCTAAAAAAGAGCATAAATACAGACAAAATCAGGAAAGCATTCCTATATTGTTAATAGTGCAACATCATATGATACTTTTAAATCTGAATCCAATCAGAAGGCTCCAGTAAGTTACTTTTGGGACAAATGACATGTAAGCAGGTAACTTCTAAAATTAAAATAAATGTTCCAATAGAACTTCAGCCTAGTCTTCTATATTCACAACTTCCCACAATGGCAAACTAAGCTTATAATATTAAACACTAACAGTCCTAAAATACCTTCCAAATGAAAAATTAAATATTATATATTGCTTTAAGATTAAATGTAATGTATGTATTCTTACTTTCTGAAATCAGGTTATCCATGAACGGTATATATTTTATCCTTTAAATAAGCATAAAGGTCATTTAACAAACCAAACTCTAAAACTTATTTTCTGGCCATGGATGCTTTATCTAAAATTATTTGTGAAATGAGTAGCTTGTAAATAGGTATAATCCACCTATCTCTGCCAATTACCAGATGCCCTCATGATCACAGCCTTTGAAACATATATACAGTTTACGAATAAAAGTCAGTTAGGGTTGTCACAGAGGGCTCTGAGTCTGATTTAGTAGAGAGTCATATTTAGAAAGGATACGGGAAACTGTTACCTACCCTTCTTTTGTATGTCTTGCCAGAAATAAAACAAAAAAGATTATTAGCATGAGGTAACAATTTATATAACTAAGGCAGAGGTAACAATTAGCAGGAGGTAACAATTTCTGTAACTAAGGCAGAGGTTTTCAAAGTATTGTCTGGGGACCATCAGCAGCAGGTGGGAACTTTGTAGGAATGCAAATACTGAGGCCCTACCACAGACCACATTGATTCAGAAACTCTGGAGGCAGAGCCCAGCGATGTTTTCACCAACCTTCTAGGTGCTTCCAATTGCAGACTAACTTTGAAAATACAAAAGCCTAAACATATAACATGTACAACTGATGCTAAGTAATAGATATCTTAACGTTACAAATGTTGCATTGGGTATTGGAAAAACATTAGAAACTTTGCCTTTTAATGAAGTGGAAACAATTTCTTGGGAGCTATAAAAGGTGAAGCTCACACTTTTAAGTATGTTAACGAAATATTTTTGAAGAATTATGAGCAATATCATTATTAAAGCTTTGGATTGAAATAATAAATTTGAAGTACACTTACTTGTAACTCATATAACTCATTACTGTATCTTCCATATTCAACCATTCCCCCAAATACTAATATTCTGGTACCATCGCAGACAAATCCATGGGCAGCACAGCCTGGAGGGATGTCTCCTCTAACAGCTGGTAGGAACCACTGATTTGTAACTAGTTGCCAAAATAAAATTAAAAGCATTATAATAAAGTTATCACAAACTATCAGTATGTACTTTAAATGTATCATCTATATTAGTGGTTCTTAATTGGGGATGATTTGCCCAGGGGCAAACTAAAATTTTTTAGTTGTCATAACTGGAAGCAGGGAGATGCTACTGGCAACTAGCAAGTAGAGGCTAGGGATGCTGCCAAACATCTTACAATGTATAGTGCAGCCCACTATCACAAAGAATTCTCTGGTTCAAATGTCCACAGTGCCGCTGTTGAAAAACCCTGATGTAAAGTATTTAATTACTTGATGAATATTATCATCTCCATTTTACAAGTGAAAAATCTGACACTTAGCTTTAATAACTTTCGTGTTGACCCTGGGCAACTAACTGGCAGAGCAAAATTCAAACCAGGTCTAACTTATTCGAAAGCTAAGGTTTTACAGTATATCGAACGGTCAAATAACTTTTTAACTTTATACGCTGGGGTGCCAGGAGGAAGAGAGGGTGAAAAAAATTTCTCATACTCCACTATTTTATTAACCTTTAAATGACTACAACGATTAAGAAGATGTCGGGCCAAGGAAAAGTTATTGGTCATGACACAGACCCCAAATTCAGTAATTAGACGTACACCAAGGAAACAGCTTTCTGACGACAGCTGGTGCATTTACAAAATGAAATTCCAACCTCTTTTCTCTTCCATAGAGGTACTCAAAGGTAGGGCCTCCCCGAGCCGGGGCACTTGTGATTTGCAGCGGTGCTCAAGCTGACAGTCCTCTATGAGCGCTGCACGGCAGAGCTTTGGCACTCACACCCAACTCTGCACAGACAGACACTGGTCTCACCCACTGGTCTCAACCACTTCCCCGCTAGTTGAGAAGGTTACCGATGGGGTAAAAGTCTGGCCTGTCACCTGCCAGAGACGGGCTGTATTAGCGGTGAAAGTGCCAGAAGGCCTCTCGTTTCTCCGTCCTCACCCCGCCCCCCGTAAATTCTCCTCCTCCTAAGGAAGGGAAGACGGCGAAGACGGGAGAGGCCCGGAGGAGCGCTCGTCTGGAGTTGGCTCGCGTTTTTGACAGGAGAGGATCTCGGAGCCCCGGAGTGGGCGAGACTTGGGGAAGAGGCCCAGGCGGTCGGCGGCGGTCTCTCCGTCGCCTGCGTCCGCCGGGGCCGGGCCGGGGGGGGGTT